ATAATCCGCCGATAAGGTTCCGTACAACCCCGTCCGATTCCGATCTCGCCGTGACTCGTTCTCCAGACTCGGTTATCTCGCCGGATCTCCGTCGTTGAATCTGTCTCCTGTGTTCGAAAATAGGTCAGTCGGATTTGTTTTTGTCCATGTTTTCTTCATCTTCGTGTATGCACAGGTTAGGTACGAATAAAATTTAAGCGTTAATCTGATTATCGTTTTGAATTGTGGATTATGTAGAGTTTAAACGATGGATCCGATGGATATAGTTGGAAAATCCAAGGAAGATGCTTCGCTTCCAAAAGGTTTGTTCGGTCTCTTGATCGGTCTGTTCATTATCTTTTGGCGATTGTTTTTCCATCAACGTTTGTTTATTGTCATTCTTTAGGTATTTGCTGGTGATTTAAATTGAATAGATTTTGTATCAATGGCTTCAGGTTACTCAATGCAATGATGAAAAAGAAAGCATTAGAAATTATAAAGGAAGTATGCTTGTTCTTAATAGAAATTACTCAATTGAATAGATTTTGTATCAATGGCTTCAGGTTACTCTTAGGATTATATGGAATCAGTGAGAAAGTAGTAGTTGCATCAGAAATAAATATGCTTCTTCTTGTAAATTTGCAGCTACCATGACTAAAATTATAAAGGAGATGTTACCAGCGGATGTTCGTGTTGCTAGAGATGCTCAAGATCTTCTCATTGAATGTTGTGTTGGTAAGATTACACTTTTCGATTTCTTAACTAACCTCTATCTCGAAGTCGGTCATCGTTTTCAAACTGCTTATCCTCTTCTAATATTTTGTATAAACATTATTGCAGAGTTCATAAATCTTATATCCTCAGAGTCTAACGAAGTATGTAACAAAGAGGATAAACGAACAATCGCCCCTGAGCACGTACTCAAAGCACTAAAGGTTTGTTGTTACATCCATATATGATATATATGTTTCCTACTTCGTAGTAATCGTGATTTTATTGTTCCATGTGACTTTTATGTGAAAATAGGTTCTTGGATTTGGGGAATACGTCGAAGAAGTCTACGCTGCGTACGAGCAACATAAATATGAAACCATGGTAACTCCATTTCCACCAACATCTCCTAAGTTACTAAATCCAGACTTGAATATAAAAGAATCTAATCGGTTATTCCTGCGTTTTGCAAATTTCACAGCAAGATTCACAGAGAAGTGTGAAGATGAATAGCGGAGCAGAGATGACGGAAGAGGAAGCAGCAGCGGAACAACAGAGAATGTTTGCGGAAGCTCGAGCTAGAATGAATGGAGGTGTTTCAGTTCCTCAACCAGACCAACTAGAAACCCAACAACAAACAAGTCTACAAAGCTAATCCTTCTTTTTTTAATCAAAACATTATCCTTTTGACGTCCTTTTCTAGCATTTCTCTGTAAAGTGCAAATTCCGTCGTCTTGGTGTTGATATGCTCTTTACATTTTAACTTAGA